CCGATAGGGAAGGCTATGCTGGCGTTGATTACAGTGCTTTTGGGACACTGTCTGCACTTCTGGAGCACTTTGGACGCCAATCGGTTCCGACTGCGAGTGGTCTGCATTTACCCCGTCCGATTCGACTCCAGTGTCTCGATGTACTGACCGGCCGGACAGGTAATACAATAGGCGACGTTCGACAGGGGACAGGGATCGCATCTGATGGCGGAACCCACCAATGGGTTCGTAACCGTTATCTCGTAGATCTTCGCGTTGCTCTGAAAGCTGTAATTCCTGTGAAAAATCCAACTGAAAGACAGGGATATGTTTTGTTGTATTTGATATCTGTATGACTGGACACCAATGGACTTGTGATGCCATTCCTTAATGATGTTCGTCTGTTGCGATAGTTTGGCGTTATGTCGGCTCTCCATAAACAGGAACAGACAGTAGTCGCCGGCGTCGCACTCCACCTCAAACTTGAAGGTAATTTCGCCGCCATTTTGCTTACGAAAGCCCGGCAGCGATAGCGTGAGGAACAGGTAGGCGCCCAACTGTGTCGACGGACCGGTCCGTATGTAGCGCTTGACGTCCGGGTAGGACTGCCACGAGATGTCCGAATCGCACTCGTGCTCCGACTCCTCGACCATTCGCACGCACTCTGTGCTCATAAACTCGGGCAACGGGTGCCACACCTTATAGGACAGAGCGTAGGCGGGAGACGTGGAGGGCGGGCACGACCGGCAACTATCCATAGTCTCCGAGCGGTATTGATTGTCGTCGCAGAAGCGGCACTTCCTATCGTCGGTCAACTCTTGGCCCAAATTACACGAATCCAAGAGTTTGTCGGCGATTGTCGTGTCATTAGGCAAGTCATCCGACACAACCACTTCCGACCACATCATCAGTATAGCGACAATCGCTGCCAATATGTCTGTTGTGGACATCGCTGAGAGACGGATCCGTTGACCGCCACGCTATCAATAACTAGATTTGATGACTAGATTCGTGTGTCTTATGGCCACTAATGACAGCATTCAGTGATGAACAGCTGTTTTGGTGATAATCGACTCAATGGTTACATAATGTCTGTGGACTACACAATACACTCAACACTTGTTTGCCATTGAAATCGCTAATTATTTTGACGATTATGTCTGTTATGACACATAAATGACAATAAATGAAACAAATTTATAAAATTGTCCAAGATCTTTTATAAACTTCAATAAAAATATATTTATTATTATTATATAATATAATTTATATTAATTAATATGTTGAATCACTTGTATAAATGAAAATGTTATATATCATAAAATTGTTCACAGAAAATATGGGCAAATAAAACACGCAAATTACATGATAAGCAATCTAAATTAACTGAAACGCTACCATAGTCCAGTACAAATTAATTATTTGCAATAACAGTCTTAATATGCTTTGCAATAACAGTCTTAATATACTTTGCAATAAATGTCTATCAAATAGCCTTGAAATGTGCATAAAAATAGGGGATTGACTTATATGCATTTTTGGCATTTCAAAGCGAGAGAGCTAGTTATAAATTTAATTATTATTAAATATTAATTTTTTATTAATTTTTTACAAAGTATTTAATGTAGTTTATAGTTAAATCAGTTAATAATTTAATAATTATAATTGTAATCACATATAAACGGCTCTCTCTCCCAATTTTGTGGTCCTGACAGGGAGAGAGAGCCGTTTATATGTGATTACAATTATAATTATTAAATTATTAACTGATTTAACTAGAAACTACATTAAATACTTTGTAAAAAATTAATAAAAAATTAATATTTAATAATAATTAAATTTATAACTAGCTCTCTCGCTTTGAAATGCCAGAAATGCCAAAAATTCATATAAGTCAATCCCTAAAAATAGTAAAAATCAAATAACAACACGACTTTGTAATTATAATAACATAAACAAATGAATGACAAATAAAATATGCCTTATTAGGAGCTAGCGTTAGTGGCACTTGTATAGCCGGATACTTTATATACAACTATTTACAAATGGGCAAAAATAAATCAATTATAAGGTAAATGAAAATGTTATGCGTGTTTCAAAAGTAATATAATTATTTGTATTACAGTATTAGACCAAAGGTTGGCCCCAAAAAGGGTGATCTATTCAGATACTATCGGATTAACAGATGTTAAAAATGAAAACTTGTATCCAATTGTTTATAACAATAATTATGGCATTAGTTTCTATGGGTTGGAAAGACTGCATCATTTTGACGCACAAAAGTGGACTAAAATATACCACTATTTGAGCACACATTTTGAGGTATTTATCAAACACCCTTTATATCATGTAAAATGTTATATATATATACCTGGATTATTTACAATAAATATATAATTACATTAACAACAGGAAAACGGCACACCTTTTACGACAGTATCGCCGCTCCGGGAGATAAATACCAATGAACTCGAGTTAATACATGACAAACAATTGATCCAGGACATTCACTATAACTCGGGGACTATAGCCGATGCACTGGAAATATACATGATCAGGGTCGTGCCAAGTTTTATATTAAGGTCGGCCCTAATCACGCCATTCAAATGGCAGACATCGGGGAGTGTTTTGTCGGCATATATGGCGCTGACGTACGAGTGGGCCGTAAACCTCGGCGGAGGTCTCCATCACTCGTCCCGTCAGAGCGCTCAGGGATTCTGTGTTTTCGCCGACATATCGCTTATTATGCAGTATTTGTGGCGACATTTGGACGATAGCCTCAAGTTTATGATCATTGACCTGGATGCTCATCAAGGTATGCTAATTAGTATTAGACAATTTGATGACCTAGCTAATATTTTTGTTACGATAGGCAACGGCTATGAAACAGATTTATTTCTATTCCCGCAAAGACTGAGAGAAAAAGTATACGTTTTAGACGTACCGTATTCCCGCACATCCACCGGCATGCAGCTATAAACGAGGTTGATCATTTTTACAAAAATGGCTTTATGATACCCTACCGGCATGCCGTTATAAAGTGAGGCAAAATAAATTGAGTTCAAAAAATATTTCTATTGAAAAAAATGAAAAATAATTAGTTTAGTTTATCAAAATAACTAATCAACTGTTTAGTAAGTTATTTCTTTCATATCTTCACAAATTCACAAGAATGTGTTTAATAATTGTGTACTTTATAGTATAATAATATTTGACACGATGAATAGAAAGCATTTAGAATGAATAAACCTTTTACTTTCTTAGTCTAATGACCACCGTTTTAGATATTAATAAGATAATATTAACTTTTAATTCAATTTATAAAATTTAATACACTTATTTGTGAATATTAGTTTATTGAAATTTAAATTTCAAAACATGTTTTACACCTCACTTATAACGGCATGCCGGTATACCCCGGGGTATAACGGCAGTCTCATCAACCTCACTTTATATCGGCATGCCGGT